AAGGGACCATTTCCAAAATGGAAAGAGATGAGCAGGTCCACTGTGATTGATTTAGTACATAAGTGATATTGTGGTAAATAGAAAAGATATGAGGTTCTTATTTTTTATTCCAGCTTGTCAATATCAGTAATTTGAGTTCCTAATTCATACAAAACTATAGACTTAGTATTTTGACATCACAAACATCTAATTTGAACCTATGCTGCATTCAACATACCACGTGACACACAAAAATCAATGTTTAACTCTGTTTTTTAATATTTTCTTTTAAATTAAGAAATTAACTAATGTATAATACTAAAATTTGAATTATAATGTATAGTTTGATACCAAACTTATTGACATAAATTCATGAAGTAGTAGCTCAATAAAATTTTGAATGTGAATCAACAAATGTGATGAAATAGCCTTTGACCCATGACCCATATAGAAAGGGCTAAAGACAGACTTTCAGCTTATGCATTATTAGGTCACCAATTATTTAGACAGTGATCCATCTAGACTGGGACTGTCAGGACTGTAAATACATTATTGTGATGTATGTTACTTATTTTGTCTATTTGTGTTTTTATTAGTTTTCTTTCAGATCGAAATTTCGTAAAGTAGTGGTGCATGATTTTAATTGCGATCATCATACCCTGTAATGACTGTTACACATGACAGTTCCCTTGACAACAAATAAAATTATTCAGAAAAAGTATTGTTTCAAATATTGTGTAAACATGGGTATGGGTTTTCAGTTCTTTTGAAAAAAGTTCTTCGTTAATAACTTTCCTATTTTTTTTCATATAATTTTTTAAATATATATATGTATACTGTTCTTGTTTTGGGAAACAAAAACTAGAATTATTAAAATTTCAGAAATATTTACTCTTACTCATATGGGAACTTTCACCAGGAGATTAAAAGTTTGAATAAATAAAATGAAAATAACCTTACCAGGCAGGAAACCCCAGTCACTAAGGATCCTCTTGATGTACTACAAACCTACATGTGACAACATCAAATATTTCAGATACTTGCCATAATATTTTAATATTAAAAAACCATGTGACATTTGTTTCCTAAAAGATATGGTACATTGAAAAACAAAGACTTCTATCTGATATTTTATTAAAATATTTCTAGCAATTATATATGATAAAATTTTACAATGTGTTACTATTCACACACACACAAATTTAAACAATTAATGTAATATTTGATAGCCTACATGTCTGAAAAAATCATTACATTTATAGATATGATTTTACTATGTTCCATATCACTTAATGTTAAAATTAACATAACTGTTATGTTTTTATATATATAAACATAAATATGTATATACACGAATTTCATTTTATTGGGTGACATGTATAGTATTGTTACGTCTCCTTTCGTTAGTTAATTTTTCGTTAAATTCGTTCCAATGAAACTTTAGCGACACAAGTCCTTTCTTAAATAAAACTGATTTATTCTTTCTGAATACAACTTTACGATGCACTTAATTTCAACAGTCGCTCTATAACAAACGCTATAACATTGGCCAACAATATTCTGTCTGCATACATTCAATTACTCATTACCTTGTTGTCCCGTCATGTTGTGAACGTCTTATATATACCAGACTACCCCCAATCTAGTAGTCTCCCGATAATTCATGAAGGTTCGAGAAGGACATGGCGTGATACTAGTCACGTGACCTCGCTGATGCAACAGTATGTATAATGGTAAAGCAGACATGAAACAATAGACCTGCAGTACTTGACTTTTCAAGTCTTCTGTTGAAATAAACTGGATCTTGTTTCCATTAGAGTATTCAGCACTCTTCATTACTTTTTATCTCCAATGTTAACTTGAGAGACTAAGTTCAGTCATCACAAATCTTCCTATTATGATTGTTTAACCTCTTGCTCTATATATTAGAGTTGCATTTAAAACTTAATTAAACTACTTTATTATCATTGTATATAAAAATAAAGTTGGTATCAAAACATAGTTAATAAATCAAATTTTAATATTATATAAGTTTAAAGTTCTTAATTTTATAAGGAAGTGTTAAAAATAAATCTTTAATCTCTCCTAGTATGAGAATTGTAACATTTGCTCTGTAGGTCTTCCCTTTTCTCTAATTTATTTACCATTCCTCTGAGAAGTATGGAATTTAATGTACATTACTCGTTATAATATAGATATTACTTAGGCAAAGCATAATTTTTATAGTCTTCAATCTTATTTGGTTACAGAGCCGTAAACTAGAAAATCAGACCCGACTGTCACATCCTCTTATTCACAAATTGCCAACAGTTCTCTCTGATGTTTTGTACTATATTATTTATAACCAGTAGAAAGCTGAAATATTAATCTGCCAAATGATATATTACATTACATTGTTTTCTCTACAGAGAATTGTCTATTTTGTCTCCACTTTTAAACTTTTTCTCACAATATTCACATCAACAAGCTTAGCAGAACTTATAAATGCTTTTATCACATAGTTAGAAAGCCATAAAAATTATGATGGTTATAGGACAATGTTTGCTTTGTGCATGCTATTATTCTGGGATTTTAGGTGCATTATTTAATTTAACAAATAGTAATACCATTAGTATAAAAAAACAAAGTAGGCTTAAGTTTCTTTGACAGTCTATAGCAAAATAGTGAGGACCCAGGTAAGTACTATATTTCTTGTTTTTAATGTGTATTCTTTATTTATTATAAAAGTAACTAAAATGTAATAATTAGAAAATTAGGTGCTACTATTGCGTTTGATCTACAAAGATATTTACACTATAGTGCGCATTCTACACAGATACTATCATCATCATCACAATTTTAACTTTTGTTTATTTGCAATTGGCACCAGTTATTATAAATAACACTTTTAAACTAATAAAGTACAAAATACCATTACATAACGTTTTGGGTGCAAATATAATTGGAATGAAATAAATTATAACAATCAAAACTAGCACAATCATAACCTAAATTTAAGGTACTCCTTTGGAACACACAACTTATTAAATTATTATTATTATTTGCTGAACAAAACATGGATAGATATAAATTATTTAGCAAAAAATTATGTTTTAGTGAATCATTAAAATGGTGATGAAGATAGTATCTGTGTAGACCGCACACTATAGTAGCACCAAAACTTGTTAGGTTCAATAAGGAAAAATTATAAAAAAAAAAAATTATTCACAAGGTATGCTCACGAGCAACTTGTGCATTATGTAATTTGATATGGTAACGTGAGCTGCATGCTTGCTGAGTGATTTATAACTTGTGTTGTGGGATTATTAGTTTGACAGTGTTCAAAAGGAAATAAAACAATAGAATTAAGAGATTTGTACTGTTACGAGTTTTATGTTATAATTTATCTGGCTTTCTAACAAAGCTAAAAATTGGTAAGTAATTTGCATGTTTGGTCAAGCAGAATTTGAACATTAGCAGACAAAGAAAAGAATTCTAAAACTTTCTAAACTGGTTATTCAGTAAATTGGAATCTTCTCTTTTATATTGGTTAAAAATAATGCAGTAGTAAATGTTCTAGAGAGTTACTGACATTTCTTAAAGACAGGATGTACCAGGAGGAGCATGGCATGCCAGTTTGACTGTCTGGTTTATATTTCCATAAAGCAAGAAGTGTAAAAAATATAAGATTACATTTTAGCTCAAATATGTCTCATGTATAAGTGTATAATCTCTCAGAAACTTAGAAAATAATATATTGATGGAAAGTAAATGTAAAATTGTTTGTTTGTTTTTTAAGTTATGCATAAAATCAAATAAATTGTTAAAAATAGCAATATATTAATAGCATGGCTTACAAAATTAAATTATCACTTAGTACAATTTTTCTCGATGTGAAGAGCACATTCTTTTCTAAAGGTTTTCTGATTCAAAATGATGGGTCAAAGTGCACATCATAACCTTTTTTTACAGAGTTACATTCAAAATTAAATTTACCAACCTTATTATCAATGTATATCAATAACCTTGGCATCAAAATGTATTTTATGATTCAAATTTTACTATAACTTCTAATTTGTCTGTTTGATGCTAAGCAGAAAGCTATACATTGGACTATCGGAGCTGTGCCCACCATGGATATTGAAACAGTTTTCAAACTTACTACTGAGCCACTGGGATTTTAATTTCTTAATTTCAAAAAACAATATTCAAATAAATTTTCAACCTTCAGTTCTCTGTACCACATGACACTTATTCACATAGAATTGCCTATTTTACATTTGCCCCCCAGTGGCACAGCGGTATGTCTGCGGACTTACAGCACTAGAAATCGGGTTTCGATACCCATGGTGGGCAGAGCACAGATAGCCCATTGTGTAGCTTTGGCATCTGTTAAAGTAAAATAACAGATGCAAGATCAAATAAATTGTTAAAAATATCAATACCACTAGATTTCATCATATGGCCTTACCTTTGACATTTGAGGGTATAACTATATCTTATGATCAATCAAATCAGTTGAAATATACAGTTCAATAATTTTGTTGACTCTGTAAGAGATTATAGTTTTACCAAATTTCATATATGATGCTAAGCATCTCTTCACTTATTAGTCACACTAACTTTATTGCAACACAAACACTTATAAAATGTAACTCTAGAAAAGTGAGCAGGTAAAATATGCACATTAAATCTTCAATTACACCTAACAGCTAGTGAGTACTTACATCATTCATTAAGCTGTTAAATCACCTGAAGTGAAAATCTTGTAAGTACTAAAATTCTACTTCAGTTTCCTGTGAAATTTGGATTTCATAAAATCAATGACTTACAATTTTATATAATTCTGGTAACAAAATCAATAGTGTTAGTTACAAATAAAAGTTCTGGACTTAGAAAGCCAAAGGTTTAAAAACATTAGATATAAATATAGATAATTTACAAAAGATGAAAAACAAGTACTTTGTTTGTAATTTAACTATGTATTAGCAACATCCACATTTGGTTTTTGTTTCAGCTTGCAGGTCTGATCTGTCGTTGGAATTTGCTACGCATCACAGACTTTATTTATGTGCCCAAATTTTTAGCTCACTTTGCTAAAATAACTCTAGGTTGGCTGCTGAAATCTGCACCGCCACAGGAAGGAGTTATTCCTATGGGAGCAACTCTTGACATTCAACGACAACAGCAGCTAGAGCTACTTGAACAACAGAGAATTTTAAGTAGAGCAAGAGAGATAAGAGAAAATGGACAGATTCAGGTAAATTTTATTATTCAGAAAGAAAAAGCGCTTTTTTGAAGCTTTAGTTGAGACTGTTTACTCTTTACAACACATGATAAAATTAAGAGATCAAGTTGATAATTTAAAATTTTTCTTAGATAATTTGCCATGTCTTGTTGACAATGTTTTGTTTTTAGAATTTCAATAATATTTGAAAGTTCTTGGTGCTAACTAGAATATCATTTTAAAAAAATAGTTTGGATTAAAATTCTGATGTAGAACTAAAGTTGAACATAAAAGTAAAAATTGATTATAACATCATCGATGTGAATCTTAAGTGTCAAGCTCAAAATCTTAAAATTACAGAAATAAGTGAAGAAGTCAGTTGAAATATACACTTAGTGTGAATATTGTATAACAACGTTCTTACATCAATGCCTTGCAGCTATTGTTCTTCAGAAAACTGCGATACAGAAATTTTTGTGTGATGCATGGCCAAAACAATGGTCCTTAATAGACCTCTCGTCTTTAGGCTCGACAACAAATGGCTCAAGGCTATGCTGAAAGACTTGTGCCAGCATCAACACAAGACAGCAGGCTTTTTCCTTCTTCAAGCTCTAGGGAAGTATGGGAGAATGTGTTTAACCTCAGAAGAAGAAGAATTGGTGCAGAACATGAAAATCAATGGAATAGTAAGTTAATTAAGCCTGTTGTAAACTTTCATATTTGATTGGGAGTTTAATAACTGGTCTCTAGATTTGTTGTCCAGTATTAATACATTGTTTGATAAAAGTTAATTCTCATAGAAATGTATGCACATTCAGAAATTGTGTCATGCATTAATGTAGGTAAAATATGAAATGACTACTTGATAAATCTCATTTGGTTACTTTGATATCTGATAATTTGAGTAATACTTGTGTTTTAATGAATAACCTTAAACATCTTAGATATAAGTTGGATATTATTTTTGACACATATGCTCAAAGAGAACAAATAGAGTAACACTTGTATCTTCCATGTTCTGTGCATGTGTTTGGTAACAAAATTAGTGATTACAATATGAATGCTACCTCTATATTTAGACATATCTTTCTCTGACATTTTCACTGTCATGTAAAGCTAATTCTCATTTACTACTTCTATTTATCATTTTATGGTGTCACATCCCAATTTGTATTCACAGGATCTAATCATAAACTTACTACTCCATCCAGGTTTTCTTTGCCATGAAATTATAAATGCTTAGAATAAGACTGATTTACACTCACTTTCTTAAATTGTTACTTAACATTTTGACAGTTCTAATGTGCAGTTTATTGTTTAATTATATGCTTTTGTTTTTATTATTTTATATGGATCATTTTGAAATTTTTATTTTTTTAAGGTATGGTCCATGTTTCTAAAGATAGCTCTTTCACTTTCTGTTCTTGCATCTTCTAGCATTCTTATTTTATTTTTTATGCATTTTTACACAAGCTTCTTCCCATTCAACTCTATTGGTGGCATTCAGTTTCTTGTAAACCAAATTGTTTATTCATTCCTTGGTCCACACTTTTCTCACTATAGATTCTTGTCCTGCTTGGAAGCCTAAAGTGTCAACATTTGTAAATGAGAAACTTGTTGCTTTTTCATACAGAATGAAAAGGTTCAGAAATTAAAGCCGATAATAAGGTGCACTTTGCCCAATGTTGTGGATCTGTTTTCCTTTTTTAAGATGTTGATATAGTTATGATGTAAAAGATTAATTTGATTTCTTATATTTGATCCATGATCAAAGTTGAATTTATTTCCATTTATTATTTTTTCTCTGTCTTGTATGGCATTGTATTAGGAGGCTTAATATATATTGTTCATCTTGTTATACATTAATTATTCATATTGGTAGATCATAGCATGACCATGTAATAGAATTGATATGTTTCTTCTTTTTTATTCCATTTACAGTAGGCTTCAGGGAATATATATTTTGCTTTTTGGTTTTCTGTCTTCAGCCTGATGCCTGTATGAAGACAGGCTTAATCAGTAACTCCTTTCTGAAGCCTCATATTTGTATTTGTTAGCATCTGTGGTTTCATGTTCTAGAGGTTTTATCAGTAAAAAGGTTTTATTGTCACAAAGACTACTCTTCTTTTTTTTTTTGTGGAGGCAGAAGGCTGCTTTTATTTTAATGGGTGATTTGATTTATGCAGATACCTTATCTAATATAGAAGAACTGTGTTGCATATTGGTCATGAATAAATGACTCAAATCTTGTCTGGGATTCTATTTCATAAATGTTCCTCTTCCTCGTTCTGGAAATAAGGGATCCAGTTCTTCTTGTACCTGTGATCATTGGTTTTGCAATATTTTTAGATTCTTGACTCTTTTGATTCTCTGTTCTTTAATTCTAGCTCCTTTCTTTTTTCTCTTGAATTCAATTAATCTTTTTTTCAGAAATTCCATGACACTTTAGTTTTTTACATAAAAGAGTCTTCTAGATTTTAACCTTGTGTATATGTTTTTATGTTAAAAAAGGGTAGACTGATGTCCTTTCCTTAGGTTTGAAAACTTATCTTTCCATTTCTCATCCAAGTTTAGAAGTTTCAAAGAGCTGTATTTCTTTTTGGATTAATCATTGGACACTGAGATATATATCTCAATTTATTTTATTTTATTTCATCCATGTTTGTCTTTTCCTGCAGTTGTGGACAGTAGTATTCTGTATCAGACAAACCAGCAAGTCACATGACAACCACAGCAAATATATCATGGTGGAAAGAAATATATCAGAACTACATTTTAACATTGATGTTTTGTAGGTAGTGTGATACCATCTAAAATTATTAGCTTCTCGGAAGGGTATGTAACAGCCCTTTCCGACTCAAGATATTGATACACTTATATCATAAGGATATGTTCATATCATGAATTTAGAATTTCTAAGACAGGGATATCCCTTATACTTGATAGCAGTGGAAAGCAAAGGAATATGAATTCATGAACATGAGGGTCAGCAGCAGAATCTACCAATGTGTCCCAATGAACAGCATGCAATATAATCGAGAAAGGTCTCCATTTGAAAAAAGTGACATAAGTCATGTACACAGTTTGCTTCCATGAAATATCCAGGAAAGGAAGATTTCAAAAATCACTTCCTATTCCAATCACATCTTTTTTTTTCCTTTTAGCTATAGGAGTTTGGGCTGGTTGCAAATTCTTCCTGGGAAATACCTTGACATAGATTTCTATATGTGATAAGGGGGCCTTCCAGGGGGGGTCTGTCCGCACAGTCTGGGATCCAAACATCCCTTCATGTGGTTTCTGTATATGGCGACATGTGAAGGGAAGGAGAAGATCCTGGTGGTGAGTAATTCCTAGATCGTTGCAAAACACCACTTTGGACTTGAATTACTGTAGATGGGAGGTCTTAGAATGGCTTCCCCAGGGTCACTCAGCTGGTCAATTGTGGGTAGGGTATAGTGCTTATGAAACCTTGGCATTCTTGCACTTTCCTCAATGTGTTGAATTTTTTGCTGGTTGATGTATTTCCTGTGGGAACGAAGCTTGTACTGAAAGAAAAACTAAAAATTCTCTGTATATAAAACAATGTAATTTGATAGTTGAAAACTGTGGCTTTCTATTGGTTATAAATAATGTAGTATTAAACGTAAGAGAGAACTATTGACAAATCCTGAAAGAGAGGCTGTGACGATGACAGTTGGGTATGGCAAGAGGGGTCTGATTTTCTATTTGAAGGCTTTGTAACCAAACAAGATTAAAGAATACAAATATTATGCTTTGCCTGAATGATGACAGTATTATAATGAGTAATTTACATTTAATTTCATACTTATTGTAAGGGTGGTAAAGAAAGTGGAGAAGAGGGGATGTCTAGAGAAAAATGTCACATTTCTGACACTAAGGGAAATTAAAGATTTATTTTAATCTTGCCTTATAAAATTATGAATTTAAAACTCGTATACTATTGAAATATGGATTATTAGATATTATTGCATGCTGTACTAATTGGTATAACATGAACAAAAAGTAGTTTAATTAAATTTTGAATGTAACTCACTAAAAACCTCAGGACATGCTCAGTAAAAGATGCCTGTGGTTAGAGGGTTAAGAGGTTCTTTTCCTCTATGGATGAAAACCTAGTCAAACCAGTATTTCTTTGTTCCCATCACTGACAACAGTGAGCAGTCAGGTGCATTTTTCTCAGTTCCAACATGCATGACTGTTATGAGGTCCCTCCCTTGCTTAATCAATTCCCATAAATCTGATGAGGACCTACCCCTTCGATCCAGGATAGTGTCCATGGAAATTTATAGACCTCCTACTGGTAAACAAAAAAAGAGATTTTTGTAAATCCAAATAAAAGGGCTTCCCACATGAGTGTCCTCAACAATCTAGGTTTTCTCTCTAGTTTGTATGAAATTAAGGCCTTGGTTTATTCTTCCCATCCTATGTGTATCTCCTGATAGGAAACATCCCTAAAAATTGCCTTTTATTGTTTGTTAGTATTCATTATACAGAAGGGAAAGATTCATGGGTATTTAGCATGCTGGTTGATCAGCGAGCTCCCTCCATGAACTGCCACTTAATATGCCTATAGAAGCTATTGTTATCTTTGTTTCCATTGCTCTCACTGTCAAACTGTGTTCTCTATACTTGTCTCCAGGAGAGGAAAAGGAGTAAGCACACCTTGATGATCTTTTTTTAAGCAATTTCTGTCTCCTTTCATCATTGTGGGAGATGCAAGTGGACACAATCCACCCTGTGTTGTAGAGATATTGGTGAGAGGGGTAACTCTGTGGTGCATACGATTTCCGGTTGCAAGCTTTCTCTCTTCAGTACTGTAAAAATATACCTTCACCCATTCTATGTTGCCCATCTCACATGCCATAGTGGAAGCTGTAAAAGGACAATTGGCCCTCCTTCACCACAGTAGGTGTCTTTGACTTGTTAGCGATAAATTCAAC